GTTTGAAAAAAAATCGAAGCATTAACACATGTTAGACTGCACCCCATAAACACAATCAAGCCTAGAAAAAAAACAGTGAACCACCCCTTTAATATAATATACTAATAATTAATTTCAGTATTTTTATTTATTTAGTTAGTTAGTTATTTTGTATACTGAAATAAATAATATGTTGGTATGAGCATCATTTCATTTTCAATTTCAACCCCAATGTAAAATCTCAGTCCCAAAGCAAAACAATTGAGAATCACGGGTTAAAGCAAATGAGTTAATTGCCATCTTCCACTAAAAAATACAGACCCTGAAAGGGGAAATAACATTAATAGCTGACCTCTATGGGTGCTGTGAGTGGAAAACACAATAGCTACTTAACAGGTGTTTCCTCCCATAGATGTTAACTCCGTTTATTTGAATACCTTAATACTCAAATACTGTGCAAACAATGTGTTTTGGTAAAAAAGCATGTCTAACCAAATTAATTTGTCCCTAATGTCTTTAAAGTGCTCTACTTCACAGTAGCATTCGCTCTTTTTTATCACTCCACCGTAGAGTGTTTTGATAACTATATACTTTCTATTAAAAGTTATTTTGAAATTCCATTTAGCCAATCAATCTAACACTTATGTTTCGTTTTTCCCCAAGGCTGATTGATTCAGTTGGTTTTATATGACTTATTTAATGTTTGATTGGGAAGTTTGATCAGGAAGAGCCTGTGGCAAGGAAATCTGCTAATCTGCAATGTAACACTTTGTAGTTGCCTCAAGAGGCCTGGTGGTTTTGATATCTCTGTGTGATTAAACACCAGGAAACCGCACCACCGCATTGCCTCGCTCAGTACAAACGTCAGCACAAAACAGAGGAGAAGATGTCCTTTCTTTAAAGTAGCGTCTAAAGGAAGATACAATACAGTCATGTGTATATATATTTTATCTAAAACAATGATTAAAGCATTGTGCGATTAAACTGGATTTGGGATTTGTCTCAGTACGGTGCTTATAAATATTCTGAATGGATATTTATCTAGATTTACTTTGGGGTAATGAGAAGGACTTTTAAAGAAATGCTCCCCTTAGAAGAAAAAATAAACGTCTCACCCAAGAATGATTACAGCGACCAGGGGCTCTGAAAATGTACTATAAAAGTGGTTCAAACGTTTTGTGTGCTAAACTTTCAGTCTGTCCCTCCACACAAAGTGCCATACAAGTTCTGAGCACTTTCAATATAGCATGGACCACTTTTGTGTCATTTGTATGGTGCTTCAGTCTTTTTTGGAGCTTGAAAGCCTCAGTCCCCATTCATTGTAATTGTACTAGGGTGAAATATTCCTTTAACAAACCTCTTTCCTTTCAGAGTTTTTCTCTCAAAGTCATGGCAATGTCATCTCAGGACTTGATGGCCATCTAATCCTTTGTGCCTCTTCTATTCCCATTAAATCCTATTTAATTAAATTGAATGTCAAAGACCCCTCTTCACCTCTTAATGTTTGCCGAGGCCTGATTGCTGAAGACAGGCATGACATCTGTTTTGAGGAAACTAAATGACTGGCAGTGCCGTCGTTATTGAGAGAGATTTTATTCCCCAGCATCTGAACCGAAGACTTGTCCGCTGTCACAATGGACACCTTCTTCCAAAAGCTTTTTCGTGTCATAACAGCTATAAACGTTTATGCAAATATTGTTTTGAAATTGTGCCATCCGTAGTCAGGAGGGCAAGAAAGCCCTCCATCAAGAGTAATGCAATTTTGACGAGCAAATACAATTCGACTCGCATCAACATGTGTCCCAGGGGTTTTAGGTAGAGTGGGTGGTCGTGCGGATACCACAGCCTCGGTGCGGTATCGAGTAGTGGAGGAAGATAATGCAATTCCTCTTTGTTGATGCTTTGCCTGGGGGCTGCAGACAACCATTCTCTGAAGCAACCAAGCAGGGTCTAATAAGCACTCGGGTCTGTGATATGGATCCTTCCAAGAGAGAAAGGCCGCTCACGGCTCCTGTTGAACTTACAAGGTGCAAACAAAGCCCTGAGTTATTATATGGAGGAGCTCTGAACACAAAAAACGCATTGCTAAATATGACACAGATAATGTTAGATTAAATGGCTTGGCAGTTTACCTTCCTGGTGATACATGTACACATTCTGATCCACTTTATGACTACGGGAGGATTTTAGTCGATATTTTGGCTTGAGAGTCCATAGAAAAAAAAAGAAACATGCAATCTGTTTAAAATCTCAGTGTCACGAATTCGGTCCATGGACTTCCGTTTATTCACCACCAGAGGTCACCCTTTCCATTACATTGACTCTCGCACAACACAAACTGTTGCATAGCACCCCGGACTACATATCCCATCATTCTTTGCACGATTTGCACACTGCACTGATTGCACTCATTGCACACAGCTGTTTCTAATCACCTCACTCACTATATAACACCCACTCTAACCACCTTTCTCTGCTGAGTATTGTTTAGCCCGTACCCCATTCCGAGTCTCTGAGTTTTCCTTGTTTTTGCCTTGCCTTGCCTGTTTTCGCGGTTTCTGATCTTTGCCTGTTTTCCTGGATTTTTCCCTCTCGTCTCGCCCCTGTGATTCTGTCTGCCGATCGGTGACCTACGCTAGCCCTGGGACTATTCTTGTGTTTTGCCCGCCATATACCTGTTTGCCATTGTTTGACCCTGCCTGTTTACCACGTCTCTTTAATAAAGCTTGCAGATGGATCCACACGTCTCACGTCTCGTCAGCCCCGTTACACTCAGTGGTTTCCCCTAGAGTTTTCATTAATGCCCTCTTCACACTGACAGTAATTTTAAAACTAAAGACTACAAGACTATATAAAATCTACACACACACACACAGGCCTGAATTTAAGACTTATGCATTTGAATTGAAAATAAAATGTATGTACATTTGGATTACACACTTGTAATATAAACTAATAAACCTGATGCAAATTTGTCAGTGATGCAAAAATGAGAAAGATTTCTGTAGTAGTATTAATAAAATACATTTGTTTTAAATGCATAATAACCAGGTTCATGCATTTATCATGCAGTTTCAGTCTCATGCATTTTAACTAACTGAATATTGCTCATTCCACAGCTAGTCATATTTAACCATGTTCATAATTTATAACTGAGTAAATAGTGTTTTCACAATTGCAGTTGTGCATAATGCATCATATCGTGCACACATATGCACGTCAGAACACATACTCACCATGCTACTCCTCTGAGAATACTAACCAAATTAATGTTACGCTAATTATTAAACATATTTAATATGAAATATACTGTGCACTACAAGTTCCGTTTTTTTTTTTTTTTTTTTGCGCATTGCATGGCATACGCAACCATTACATTATCTTTAGTTTATTATGCACATCAGTGAAGCTTATATGTTTTAGTTACAGTTGTGCTTTTAAGTTTGAACATATATATTCCAAATGCACCTAATAACTAATTAATAAAATGATTTTGCTCTGCAGATCTGAGGAAGAACTTTGAGGAGGAACCGCTGGGTAAGGAAGTGGCACTGGATCAGGAAGTCCTTCTGCGCTGTCATCCTCCTGAAGGTGTTCCTCCTGCAGAGGTGAGAGCAACAAGTAAACATGTTAACACCCAACAGCTCTGCTAATTATCCCTCTCGTTAATGTACTCGCACAAATATACCAACAAGCCAGAGATCTGACGTCTTTCACCATATTCCGTCTGTTCCATGAGCTGGACTTGGATGAGGAACCACACAATGTGATTTGGCAGCTCTGGGAGTCCCATTAATAATACATGTATTTTTGCACTGGTGCGGGACTAGACCAGCCTGCGACCAGCTGTTGCAGCTCAAAATGGCCATCCAAACTTCCAAACCTAACAGCAGCGACGTATCAGTGCTGTATTGTCGTATTCAACTCCACTTTCACTGCAAAAGTGACTGTTATGTTTGACTTCATTCATTCTGTATCTTTTTTTTCAGTCTTTTTTCAAGTATTATCATAATCCCAATTCCTGCTTTTAGTTCTATTTCAGCTATCAAAGTGCTAAAGAAATGTTCTGATTTCCTCATTTTTTATTGTACAAAAAAGAAAAAGAAAGACAGAAAAATGCTAATCCACTTTTCTACTGCCCCGTGCTGCCATACAGTGCCTGCCAAAATTTAACATCTTCAGCCCAGGCAGGGTCTTTGGGAGCTGCCCAGAATGGCCGCTGGATCCGGGAGCATACAGAGTGTTTTCCATCCGTTTGAGCCAGATTGAAGCTGTGAAATGTTTTCTCTTGTGTATATCTCTAGGTGGAGTGGCAGAGAAATGAGGAGCTGATCGACCCCAAGACTGACCCCAATTTCTTCATCACCGTGGACCATAATCTCATCATCAAACAAGCCCGCCTGGCCGACACAGGCAACTACACCTGCGTGGCCAAGAACATTGTGGCTCGACGAAAGAGCTCCTCGGCTACTGTGATTGTCTACGGTGTGTTTCTTCTCATACTTTGTTCCATTCTTAAATCACAGATAAATGGACTTCAACTTTCAACAGTCTGACAAAAGTTTGGGATGGTTTTGACCCAGAGTCAGGGGTAATTTACTGAGAGAGGTAGGCTAGCTTTGATGGACAACTCTGTTTTGATCAGACTTTGAGAACAAAATGTACTTACTGCTTTGCCTTGCGAAAGTTTATCGGTGTTTACTATAACAGCACTGTCTGTAGTCTCCATCCAATTAATTTTGAACATTAATTATTTATTTATAGGCCTGAAAAAAACATGGAAATTATCTAAATCTTTTCCGTTTTTAGGTGAGAATGAAATTCATTGTAAGTTTGATTTGCAAGTTGCTCCATATAATTTCTATTTTGTGAATATTTGTCTGATGTATAGACGTACATCTAGAAAGTGATTTTTTTAGACCTTTTAAAATGATTTTTTTTTTATTCTTCAGTAACAATTAACTAGAAAAGAAAGTGCTCAGCAATTGGTCAGAAAGTGTGAGAACCCTGTCATTTGAATAATTTTATTGAAAATAATTGCTACTTTCTTGAATATTTTATTACATAATGTAAATATAAATGCATTTGCATTTTATATCATATATTTACATGCACTTTGTAGATGTGGCTTAAGTGTCCAAATATATAGTTCAGTCATGAAATTCTAGATGGCACTAGGGCTGGACAATAATTCAATATCAATATGTATCGCGATATAATTTTTTTCAATAACGGTGATATGATTTTTAAACACATTTCCGATATTTCGATATACATTACCAGTTTCCCATACATTGATTTATTTGTGCCGTTTGACTTCGTTGAATAAGCATGAGCACTGCACATTTCTAAATCAAAACGCGTCGCGGGTGTTTTATATGAATGTATCTCTGAAGGGAATTGACTGTCTTCAGAAAAGTTTCGATGGCATTTTCATTTGATCTGATAAAGCAGCATTCATGAGCGGAGCTGCTTTGATTACAGCCATTACTGGAGAAACCGCTAGTTTTATCACTCTAAAAGCGCCTCCTGCTGGCAGAGAATGA